TTGTGGATGGGGATGGCCGTAGGCCTCCTCTGCTACTGCAGTCAGTACTTAATTTAAGTATTAAACATTTCCATAAATTGTCAGCTACAAAATTCACATTCACATTTGAAATATTATCATACACATTTTAAACACATTTGGGGTTGTAGTGGAACAGGTTGAGAGCTTCAAGTTCCTTGGTGTCCACATCACCAACGAACTATCATGGTCCAAACACACCAAGACAGTCGTGAAGAGGGCACGACAAAGCCTATTCCCCCTCAGGAGACTAAAAAGATTTGGCATGGGTCCTCAGATCCTCAAAAAATTCTACAGCTGCACCATCGAGAGCATCCTGACTGGTTGCATCACCGCCTGGTATGGCAACTGCTTGGCCTCTGACCGCAAGGCACTACAGAGGGTAGTGCGTACGGCCCAGTACATCACTGGGGCAAAGCTCCCTGCCATCCAGGACCTCTATACCAGGCGGTGTCAGAGGAAGGCCCTCAAAATTGTCAAAGACTCCAGTCACCCTAGTCATAGACTGTTCTCTCTGCTACCGCACGGCAAGCGGTACCGGAGTGCCAAGTCTAGGTCCAAAAGACTTCTCAACAGCTTCTACCCCCAAGCCATAAGGCTCCTGAACAGCTAATCATGGCTACCCGGACTATTTGCACTGCCCCCCCACCCCATCCTTTTTACGCTGCTGCTACTCTGTTAAGTATTTATGCATAGTCACTTTAACTCTACCCACATGTACATATTACCTCAACTACCGGTGCCCCCGCACATTGACTATGCACGGTACCCCCCTGTATATATAGCCTCCCTACTGTCACTTTATTCTATTGTATATATAGCCTCCCTACTGTCACTTTATTTTTTACTTCTGCTCTTTTTTTCTCAACACTTTTTTGTTGTTGTTTTATCTTACTTTTTTGTTTAAAATAAATGCACTGTTGGTTAAGGCTGTAAGTAAGCATTTCACTGTAATGTCTGCACCTGTTGTATTCGGCGCATGTGACCAATAAAATTTGATTTGATTTGATTTGATTTGATTTGGATTATTCAGTAAAATGATATAGGCCTAATATAATTGCAGAGCAGTCTACATTCAACATTGTATGAGCTATTGTCTTATACCAGAATGTGCAAATAAATTATAACTAGCCCACATTTTGGAGTCCTTGCATTCCCCCTACAATTAACCTACAATTGATAGCCTACAATTGCCCTGCTTTCAAGTGTAATTTTTAAAGGAACTTTTATTCGTTCATTACTAAACAGCCCATTTTGTTCTATGTTCAAGTTACCTAAATGCACTATAAATGCTGATTGCTGAATCAAAGTTGATTAACTGCCGGATCAACAACAACAAAAAACTATGTTGCAGTGTTGAAGTCTACTTATGTAATGACAACCACACACATATACACACACGTCAGGAGAACACAGGGGGCTTCCGATATGCTACACGCTACACTAACTGAAGGAAACGCACATAGCCTATACTGAACTGTTAACCCCCATAGCATCACATCCATATCACACGCAACTAGTCTACTTTTAAAAGTAATCTGAGTTTAGAGAAAATGCCAACATATAAAGAGCCTAATTGAGAACCATTAGCGCCAGATCACCAAGGCATTTCTCAGGCTAACATTACATTACAGCATTCATTTAATGTTAGGTGGGTGTTACAAGGGGCATGTGTCTATTTCATTAAAAAGCTAGAGAAACAAGATTATTAACTTACTGCACCTTCTGGGAACCATTTGCCGGAGTCGAACGATGCGAGCGCAGAGCATTGAGGGCTAGATAATCCTCACTAAACGCCTCATACCTCTCCGTCCACTCAGAGAAGAGGATCCAACAGCTGCGATTCACGACAGTTAAGATTATATATGATGTAAATATATTGAGGGCTGGTTTGTCAGCTCTCCCAAACCATAAAATGTACTTTAATGACATCACGTGTTCTCCGCGAGCCACTCAGGGTCAGCGCCCTAGGGCCTTCAGCATACACAACCTCCAAAAGTTTAAAAGTAAGAAAAAAGACAGACAGACGGAAACAAAAAAGTATCCGATACCAAAGCAACCCTTCTCCACACGTTAAGCCTGCAACTGACATATCCGAGAGGGATGTCAGACGCAGGACGTCCTGGGGAACTATAACCACAATATCATAGGGGTGAGTAATGTTTTTTTCATTCTCTCGCTCTCACCTGGAAGCAGGGGTTTTGACGTATAAATAGTGTTTGGGAAATACTGTACCAAGAAGTAGCAGAGGACTGCGTAGCTAGACAAGAGTTGAACCTCTAGTATAATGGAAAGACTACTTAAAAAGTGAAAGGGCATGAAGAGGGGTGGGGTGGGGTTGTCCAGCACTGTTACCTGCCTGTGTTGATAAGGTTGAGACAGTAAGGTTGATACTGTGTGATGACGGCTCCAGGGGTTCTTCTTAAGGGGGTTTACTTGGTGTCATACTGTTGCCGGTGTAGGACACATCCAAGAACATCATGGAGGCAAGACGTGTATAGGTACTATTCCAGAACGACATGACCCAAAAAATTTAACCAAACTAGAATTCTCTTTGAACAGATGTTTTGAAAATGATCGATGCATAATTTTCAACTTTACAAGTTATATTTAGTGGACGTTTCCATCAAAAGTGGCTCCTTAAATGTGACATGAGGAAGAACTGTTTGGACCTGTTTTGAGTACCGGAAGTCATGTGAACTGATTATTAAGGATAAATGATCGTTTCTGGTACAACGTTGCCTCTGATGGATCATTCAAAACGACTAAAGAAAACTTTAACATTATCACATAAGTTTGTTAGGTCTAGATATTGTGTTGAATGTTTCTGGAAATAGCCTAGGAGTAGAATGTATTTTAAAAGTATTTAAAAAATTCAACTGCAGCTTGGGCTTTTGATTAAAAGTATTCATTTCATCAATCTTGGGTGATTCATTAATTATTTTAGCTAAATGAACAGATTGGCCACATTCAATGGAAATAGCGTTTTCTTATCTATTCAGACTCAAGAGTCTTCCTGAAAGTGCATCTGTTTGGTTAAACAATTGTCGTTGTTTGAGAGGTGTTAGGGAGAGCTGTAAAGTTTTATGATGCGTCAGGGCCATAAAGTTTTACAGGCATCCGTCTGTACTGTACTGTAAATAATTACTGAGGAAGTGGAGGCTGACAGAGAACCGGCATCAAATCCTGAGACCACGTTGAGAACTGCTAAAGGCCAAAGAGTAAAAAAACAGCCACTTCTTCTTGGAGTAATCAAACAACTACTGAATTGGCTGCACAAAATTCCAGTAGACCTATACCATCATAAAAATACATAGTGGTATGAAGCACGTTTTCTCCAAATTCACCCATCTTTATTTCATTCTTTAAAACACAAACATTCACGAAAGCCTTTCTTCTCAAGAGTTCAGTCCACTTCAAAGACAAAACTTCAGCTATCTAATCAATGTGAGCAATTTTAAATCTAGGCTATACCATGATGCTAACTGTTCTAGATAAATGAATAGGCCATTAAATAATAAGTGCATTTCGTTCCAGAGGATCATCCTCCATTCTACCACTTAATAGATTATTATTTCCACAAAGTGAAACAGGACTTTGTCAAGAAAATGTGAACTGTAATATGTGAAATCATTTTACCTACAAGGCCTTCAAAGTTTTATTTGTGAGCAATTATAACCATGCAGAATATGAGAAAAGGTTGTTATGACACTGTTTTGTGGCAGCCGCTGGAAACGAGGGTGAGAAGGAAATTGTTTAATTGTTAGCTACTCATTGTGGACAGGAGCCTCCTTCCTGCCTCATGACAACATATATGTGAACTCAAAATCTCACCTTAGTTGGAGAGGCTACCTGTTCTGTGTTCTTCATTTTAAAACATTGGGCAAATGTATATATTGATAATGAATAATTATTGAATTGAACATCATTTACACATTACATAAGTTATAGGCTACAGGTTGTCTTTTTATTTTTCTATGTTCCCAAATAATGGGACATTTGCAGGAAATTTAGGATATGTATTGCCCAATTCTCAGCAGAAATCCGCTATTACATGCATTTTTCGTGTTTTACACAATATTCTAAATTGTTAATAATGATTTGTCACAAATGTAATGCTGAGGTTAAAAAAACGAATCCCATTATCATACTTGGCACATTGAGTCCGATCTTAGTCAACAATCAACCCAAAATCCCCCAAATATGTTTCTCCTGCCTACTGGCAAGTTATGTAATACAATAGACCCTTCATATGAGGAAACCATTCACAATATAGATGTTAACTACGAAATGTATAATAAGGTTTAATGTTTTATCGAAACTATTTAGATTGTACGAGTATCTCACTGTTCTCACGACACTGTTGCCAAAATCAACAATTTTATGTGGAATATTTCAAATACAATATATCATCACTGAGAATGATATAGCCCCCGCAATTTACTAAAATGTGTCTGTTACATCTTAATATCCCTGGTTGTTTAAACGGGCCTGTTAAAAAAAGAAACAGAAATACACAAGGAGTTTGAAGAGTAGGCTAACCTACAAGGAATTTACCTTTCATGGTTGTTTTTTAAATAAATTAATAGGAAACTCACACGAAGAAAACAATGGTGATAGTACAGTAGTAATACGATAATATCAATAACTTTCAACTTTAAAATAATTTAAGGAAAAAGAAGGGAAGGGATGAAACGTTAAAATTATTAAAGTAGCATTTTCTATACTTAATCTATTTCAAGCGTTTACATTCTCACAAGTTCTATAAGACTTTGCTGCACAAGTTCATATTACAAGATATAAAATAAAACAGTACAATATTCAAACAAAATGACAGATATATTACATAATCAGATCCATAATTGTAGAATGTTCATTATTATCACACTGAAAAGTCACTGTTTGGAAACATGGGTGGTGATGAGTCTTTGAATGTCATCTCAAACAGAAACGTTGATAACGTTTGAAAATGGCCCCCTGTTTTAGATGGACTCTTTAATTTTAAGCTTTGAGTCCTTCTTCCACTTCATTCGGCGGTTCTGGAACCAGATTTTGATTTGCCTCTCATTCAGACATAGCGTATGGGCGATCTCGATGCGCCTACGACGCGTCAGATACCGGTTGAAATGGAACTCTTTCTCCAACTCCAGAGTTTGGTAGCGTGTGTAACTCGTCCTTGACCTTTTGCCGTCAGCCTCTGTGGTGTAATTGAGAGAAAATGTGTGATCGCACTGGACTTTTCATATAAAAACAGAATAAACATTATCACTTAAAATATATCTTAACTTGTCAATGGACATGCAATGACTTGTAGTCTGCCAATGGATAAGAATGAATAGCAAAACACAGCCTGTAAGTCACTCTTCTGTGACTATATCCCCATGTCAAAAGATTACATTAAAGTTTTAAAGTTACTGTATGGCCTAATGAATGTAAGGATAGCTGGATGGCTGGATAAATGATCATCAATATGGAGCTATATTAGTTAACAAAAAACCCAAAATGTGGCCATTCGGGTTTACTCAATGAAACCACTGTGATTGTATTACTATTAGGCCTATGACTAATAATAGTATTGTTATTATAATTATTATTTATTATTTTAACAACAACTAAAACAAGGGCAAGGATTGTTACAGTTACAGAAATATCCTTTGTCCCTCTAAAGTAGCCTACATGCCCTGTTGTATAACACACAATAAGTTGCCAAGGCCAGTAGCCTAAATACACATTTTCTTACATTAGAAACGTTCAGTTAAAGCGTGTACAGTGAAATCCACAATCTCACCCTTCATTTCAAATATCCTAAAAATAAGGATCATGCTTATCATACTATGTTGTTTTGGTTCTAAATATAGAACGCACACATTGTTTGTTGAGGTTTTGCAGAGACTTGTGTCTCCTTTATCCAATTACCCTGTCATAAATCTGGACGCAGATCGCCTTTTCGTTTTAACAGGACAGTTTTACGAGCAATTGATGCCTTTGTCATACAATTTATGACTGCGAGTTTTATTATTTACGAATACGGCCTATAAAACTCAAGGAAGAAAAACTGTGAATGGAGGAGAGAGGGTAAAAAAGATAGAACACATGGAGGAGAGAGGGTGAGAGGGACACTCTCCCTTCTGTACAAAATCAAGCGAAAAGAAACATCAAACTTTACCGTGACCCATGTGTAGTTTAGTCATCCAGGGATATATTTGTGGTTGCTGTTCGCTGGTTTGTGGCTGAGTCGAATGGTTTGCTTGTCTTACTGGCTGCACGGGTTGCAAAGTTCCGACTTTGATCTCTCCTGTTTGTGTCTTGCGGATGGGCATTTCGCACAAATCTGAGTCCATCACGGGTTTTCGACGATACAGTCCGAGATTTAGAGATCCCTGGCCGCTTGTCTGCTCGTTCATGATGCGTCTCTGGGTAGCGTCTTCTGTAGAAGACTCTGGCCGTGGTGTAAGGTCACCAGGATTGCCACGCAGCACAGCGTTCATCTCTCCCATGCCAATGGAGCTCGAGGACGGTGGGGACGCAAATGACCCGCGGTGATCATGCCCTCCATAACCACTGTAGCCGGACACGTTGAGTTCGGGTTTAGATCCGTAGCCATGGTTGTGCAAAGCGAAGGCTGACTCATCGTGAGTTTGCTTAAACAACGAGTTGGCTACGTAAGAGCTCATTTCAAGAGAAAACGCTAAGGAAACGAAATGGAAGCATTTATACGGACTAAATTATTGCATTAAAGTTTTGATGTAACACGATAATTGTAAAATATGTACAGATAGCAGTTATAATGGTGTGGTATTGTTATTGCGTTAGCGTTTGATTTGTAGCTCTTTTGAAGTTCATGGGGTTTTATCCTAAAAATGACCACGATTTATAGGTGGGGGATATTTTTTTTAATCCATTGCCCAAATATGGGACGTCTAAAAAGAATCACGTGCTCGTATCGGCCAGTCATACATTTGGCTAGATCACACTTGGAGGTTATTAATGGAAATAGGAGAAACGCCTGATATCCGGGCATCGGATATCAGGCGCCAGTACCCTAGTGGGTACCCCTAGTGGGGTACTGGCGGTGCAGGGCTGGACGGAAGGCCGAGAGCGTCACCTGCTGCCAGGGACGGATAAGAGCATTAAACACACAAGGGCATAGGGCGCCCTCTCCTCCTCCTCTGTGCCAAGCTAGGTCTTGATCTACCTGGCAACAACAACACAGTTATGCGCATCGAGGCATGCGCGCACATAGAATATTGTTCTTTCGTAGGATAGAACTGCATTGATGGCCTAATCTTGCAGACAAGCTAATTGATTACCACCATAACGAACAATGGTAAATTGCTCTATAGGTTTAAAATCAGCCTTAAAAGTATAGCATAGAGCAGGCAGTCGGTCGCCAAACAATAAAAGGTCCATTTTCAACCTCCTTTATAATAGAATAGGCAGCAACAATGGTGGCTACATAATGTCTGACCACAGCTTTACTCGCAATTGTCTGTAGCCTTTCTTTCATTGTTTTTCACAATAAACTGCTAATAATAATAATAATAATAATAATAATAATAATAATAATAATAATAGACGGCTAAACAATCAATTGCTATGGCATATCACTTTGGCCTTCTGTTCTGCAGTCACCGTAATAGCACTTCCTTTTTTGGGTCACTATACTGTAAGTTCGCATTTTTTCACTCTGGCTATATGTTTTATATTGAATTGTATCTGGAATTGTTTTCTAAATGGCTTGACTGACCACTAGGAACACGTTTCTCGATATGGCAGGTATGGCAGAAATCGAAATAGGCGTGCATAAGATTGAGTAATTGTATAGCCTACAACGACTCTTAGAATGATAATGCCAACGTTGATAATAATTCTCATAAGAGTAAGTTCTCTTTATTAAAGTTGCATCACTAGTTTATCTGAAAAGATAAAGGCAATCAGAATGTCCTCCGTAAACAACTGCAACATCGCCTGGCAATGGTTTTAATTGGCTTGTGTGTGACTGAGAAGAAGGCCTTTTAGTATTATGTTTGGTATTACGTTACAAATAGGCCTACCTAATAACATGTATCAAAACCTTAAACCATACAGTGTAAACTGAAATGGAAGTCTATTCAGACTTAGAAATTAGACAGGTCTTTCAGACAGTGAATTTCTATCGAATTGTGTGTGATTTGCGTTTCCTCTTCTCTCCCCAAACACATTTTCCAATATTTCTGTAGCTATTTGAAATGACTAGCCTATTCAAAGATTTCACTGCATGGCTTTGAAAGAATTAGGGTCAATTGATAATTCTTTAACATATCATTGAAGGCCTATAGGCCTACCACAGAGAGCCACAGACAAATATCGAACATTTATTTATTTTAAGTGGTTAAGCTTTGAATTAAAAAAAATAACGTGAAAGAACAATTAAAGGGTAGCTGGCTTTGGGTCTATTATATGACGAATAAAAAACTTGAACAATGACATGTGTACACATTTAACCTGCATAGAGAGCTATAATGCTGCTGTTTGAGAACGAGACTAACTTGGTATGGTGGGCGCAAAGACATGGACAACTTTTTTATTAAGAGTTTTATTATTTTTATTTATTTATTTTACCTTTATTTAACTAGGCAAGTCAGTTAAGAACAAATTCTTATTTACAATGACGGCCTACACAGTTTTATTAAATATGACTTGAAGTAAATTTCATACATCACTGTTATTGTTTAATTTGAGATTTTCATCTAACACTACAATTTAAGCCACAATTTAAGCCACATCAATTGTGGTCCTCTGTAGCTCAAATGGTAGAGCATGGCGCTTATAACGCCAGGGTAGTGGGTTCGATCCCCGGGACCACCCATACGTAAAAATGTATGCGCACATGACTGTAAGTCGCTTTGGATAAAAGCGTCTGCTAAATGGCTTATTATTACATCGGTCAGTTATGATTTAACCACATCCTCAATGTAGGCTACTGCTACATATCTAAACATAAATAAAGTAGGCCTACTTACGACAAAAAAGTTGCGGGATGCACACGAATGCTCTCACAGGGCTAAGGCATGTAATACAGATATACGTAAATATAAATATATACAAACATATCAACAATTTAGGTAGTGTGGGTCGTTATTATTCAGCATAGTTTTTTCGTACAACAGAACAGCAAAACCAAAAAACATTAATAAGTTACTCAAGCGGATGTAACGCTTGTAGTTTCATTCACATATTGTTGTAACAATTACTTTTGGAAAAACATATTGCCAACATATTCGTCATAGGTGTACAGACATCTGAGAACCATGTGTTTTTAATTGTTGTCAAACAACATTTATGAAAATACAATAATGAACGTCTTCGCGTTACACACAGTTTGGGTAGGCTATATGAGGGAATGTCAAGTAAGGAAACAAATTCTGTGGTCACCGTGAAAAGTTCAATACAGAATAAAATGAAAAAGGCAAACATTGATGTCTGAAGAAATGTTGCATCCACATTGCATTTAACGCAGCCACATCTTTGAATACACTAGTGTATTTATTGTGGCAAAAAAAATGTTGATAGGTACTTGATAGGTAGTTAAGTTATTCTCACATCACGGCGGATTGATGCGTATAGTAGGCTAAGTTATGAAGTCACTCATTCTTTCTTCTCTTCTGTCGCCTCTTCTGTGTCCTCTTTTCCCGTGTCTTGACTCGCCCCTGCCAAACCACTTTCAGTGAGAGTGGAAGTTAGATTGCTTTCCTTTTTCCATTTCATCCGGCGATTCTGGAACCAGATTTTTATCTGACGTTCGGAGAGACAGAGTGCATTGGCGATTTCGATACGTCTGCGTCTTGTCAAGTAGCGGTTGAAATGGAATTCCTTTTCGAGTTCTAGAGTTTGGTACCGGGAGTAAATTTGGCGGCCTCTTCGTCTGTCAGAACCGTATCCAACTCCTGAGTGGAAAACACAGTTTTGAATTAGCATAATCAGGCAAAATCAATATTTTTTTACGTAGGATATGCAATGTCACTACCCAAACACACGCACACACATAATCACAAAAAACCCACAGAAAGAATCGATGTCTAGGATATAGCCTAATCTTGTCAGTTCTTCCATGCTAGCCTATGTTTCGCAATAATCGAAATAATCAACAACAATGGTGGTGCATACTGACGCAACACACACACACACACTTTCGCTATCAGGGGAACCCAGTCCACTGAGTGATATTTGAAGAGATGGTAGGCTATTCGTCTTAAAATACCGTGAACTCTTTAATATTGGTCACAAAAGTATTAGCTTAAAATATATAAACTATTTTGTTTTGAGGGAAATAGGGATGACGATAAAAAGGCCTTTATTGCCGGCGACAGGGTGCTGCTGTAGTAATGGTTTATGGGGTGATAAAAAGTAGCTTCCCCAGTCGTAAAACGGACCAGCTCGTTGAATTCATCTCTAGGAGTTTGTAATAGGCCTACTCACCACTATGAGAGTTCATCCGCTGCATCCACGGGTAGATCTGAATGCTCTCCTTCTGTTCCTGTGAGCCGTTCCTGCCCTGATCAGACGGGTAATCCTGGGCGAGCGAGCTTTGTGCACCTTGTCCCAAACTGCTCTGCCTACAGCTGGGCAGCACGTCTTTGTCTTGGTAAAACACATTGGATCCATACTCGTACGGTCCCCTGGTCAAGCCGAATACAACGTTGTCTTGGGGCGAATAGAAAGGCGAGGAATATATCCGGTTTTGAGGCACGGCGGTTCCGTAGGAGGGGAAGTGTCGAACTGGGTCATAGGTAGTTGAGTTTAGGGCCACGTTTGGTAAAACCTCTTGACCACCAGCTAAATGGCATGAGAGCGACGGGTTTGCGAAATAAGAATTCATACCTTCCCCTCTCTCCCTTGCTCCCTCTCTTTCTCTTTCCCTCCCTCCCTTTCAATCTCAGCTCTCTCTTTATTCTCTCTCACACTCACTAAGTCACTCTCTTTTTTTCTCTGTCAGTCTCTTTTAATACAGGCACGCTGTATGATTTCTTTATAATTTATTTCTGGACGCCAATAAAGACACAAGGCACAGCCGAATGTTGTTGCTAAAGCCTCACTCTAGGATGGACAAGATGACAACGTCAGCTGACCAAATTTCCTCCAATAAAAAGCAGGGAGTAGAGGGACTGAGGGAGAAAAAAAAGTAACTTCATTTTTTAACATTCTCGGTCGAAACTACTCTCGCATATGCGCTCGCACACACACGCCACACACGCGCCATCTCAAGCTAACACATGCACATAGGCGCGTGCACATACACGCATAAGGACTATATACATAGTGAGCATTTACGCGCACGCACGCACGCACACACACGCACGCACACACACACACACACACACACACACACACACACTAGTCACCTCTTGCCAATCTCCTCCTGCAACGCATATTCTTTGTTGTACAGTACTATACCATAGCAAAAATAATAACACTCCTGCTCACAAAGGTATAAAAAATATGCAGTGTGTGGATGAACTAAATCAGATAGGCCTATAGCAATAAACATAAACAATAATGAATTAGCCTAAATGTGGAATTTAATTATTGAGATAGATGCCAACGCTAGACAAGCACGCTCTATTTAAATTATTTGACTTGAGTCCAGTCTCTTGTAATTTTTTAAAGATTGGACCTTAAAGAAGACCGAGAGTTATGTTTCTATACCCCTCGCAGTTGAGAAAAAAAGATTAGGGTTTGTAACCGCAATACAGTGTGATCGAATTATTAAGTTCGAAAAGCTTGACAATATTGCCCTCTTAAATCGATGAATATATTTTTCTTCGGTGTGAGATACATATCTTATAAAGTGATTAAAAAACATGATTTATTTTGAAAAAATAGTGTTCGGGTTGTTACAGAGTCAAGAAAACGTGTTTGGGTGACTTTTAATGATATTATTTATAATAGCAACAAATAGATATAGGCCTAAGTTGCTGTATGCTTTAGCCTAATATGAATGGACTGAATGGTGATGGATAATATGAAGGCCCATAACACAATTATCCAATCTTTAGATATACAATCCAAATAGTAAGTATTGAGTTCATTCAGTTTGACATAAAACAAGTCCTAACACAGGCTTGTTTTGAAGGCTACAGGCTGGCAGGAAAACTGAACACGAGTGTGCGACACACACATACACACACACACACACACACACACACACACACACACCTCATTTCTCATTAGCGTTGGAATGACACGAAAATGCAAAGGGTTCACTGTTGCTTATGGCAAGATAGGCCTCCTCTTATTGCTAATGCTAACCATAAAAATAAGTTATGAATGTATTGTTGTGGATAGACGGGCATGTCTTTTAGCGATTCCCCATCAAAAAGCTAACAGGTCTAGGCTACATTTGATAGCATGTGAGGTTGCCCGCTATAGGCAACGTTTTACAATAATTAGATTAGAGCTGGTGCATGAAATTCGAGAAACGTATTCGAAGAGGTAAGGAAAGTCTTATATTGGGACAAGAGGCTTTTAGCCGCGTTTCCCCTTTGTTCAGTGAGAATTCTTTGGGCAAATAGAGGGGGGTTTATGGCAGTTTTACAGCGAAAGAATGTCTTAACGCCTGTGTAAGCCACAGTAGTCATAAAACCAGACAAATGACGGATTCTAGCCTATACTCCTCTCCTGCTTGCACTGTGTATATCCGCGTGTGGGAAATCCTTGCCCATACAAATAAATTAAATGCACTAGTGAATGGAAGGCTTTAGTGTTAGAGCATGGAAAGAGAATACACTTTAATTAACGAAATTTACTGGATAGTCAAGCGGTGCCTTTAAAAAAACGTGTGTTACTACAAATAAGGCTATAGGCCTAAACCTTACAGCATAAAATGCAACAGCAAGAGAGCAACGTTTATTGCTGGGCTAAGCTACAGTATTGCAGTGCAGCATTTGAGGGTTGTTACTGTAATAGGTTGATAATTAGTTAATTAAATAGCTAAGCCAGTGTGGAGACGGAAAATATGAATCATTGTCGGTATAGGTCTATTATAGGACAATGCAATACAACATATAGAATGAAAGAAGAATATAGCCAACATCTTGATATTCAAATATCCCCTAAACATATTTCATATGTGTTTCAAATGTGTCTGTGGCGTTTTGTGTTTGGCCTCGATATCAAACTTAGAATATTAGACTTCCACACAAACAACGTAGGCCTATCTAACGTTATTTGTATGACAAGCCATTGGTAGACTATTAGGCTATATTTTCTTTTTGGAATAACATGGGAAAGATAAAACGGACTTTTATGACAGGTTTGATGATTTCGATTGATATCCACATAGCCTAATCAATCCTACTCTGCCTTCCAAATAAAAGTTCCGCACTCAGTGTAATCGAACTAATGAGCTCACTGGTCTGGCAGAAGTCGGATACAAACGTGGTGTTCCCCAAACAGCCTTTGATCTCTAAATCCGAACGCTTTTAAAAGGCTATTGCTTTAATGCGGGCCATATGACAAACGCAGCAGTTGGAATGCAGTGGGATGTTATCGGTGAGCCTTTCTGGAAATTGAATAGAGGATTTATAAGGAACATTTTTATCTCTGTAATCCTTGTGTGTCATGCAACTCTTTAGATAATTAATACAAGTATTAATTAACCCCCCCCCCCATACACACAATATTAGGCTATACACGTTGAGTAACCCATATCTCTTGAATAGTGCTGCTCTATTCCTCGCGTAAAACATATGTTGTTGATGCGCTATCTGTGAAGGAAACGTGAATTGGGTTGGGGGAGAGGTAGAGAGTGGTTTTATTGTACTATGGAAGTGGAAGTGTATGGGGAAGTGTTTTATTGCACCCTTTGTGGACGATAGTCTGGCATTTGCACGCAAAAACAACTGGTCACTTATAATCTTTGGAGGTCTTGAGGTCTGGAGGTATTTGCCTATAGGCTACCATTGGAACCAGACAAAAAACTAATCGGACTAAAATAAGCCTCCAATTGTCGTCCTGATAATGTTAAAATTGTGTTCTATGATAGGTTATAATTTGCATACACAGCAAGTCTAACACAGCCTTAGAAGCATACAAGAGTAGCAAAATTATGCATTATAAAACAAATGATTGCAACTCTAACTCTGTCTTATGCGCCAGTAGCACAAAGAGAATAGGTTAGTAAATAACTGTACTACACTAATAATAACAATTATGGTATCAGGGTTATAGGTTGTATTCAATATTACTGGTCTAACGATGAAATATTATATAAAACCATCACTAAATTACAATATTATCTTACATGGGCAAAACAACCCTAAACGTAGGCTATTTAAAATAAATTAACAAAAGCAGCTGTCCAAAATGATCACATAACTTGGCTACAATAGTTTCTCTCATATAATAACAATAAGGCTTTTGTTTCAATGCACTTTCATATTATTATTATTATTATTATTATTATTATTATTATTACTTTAGAACATACTTATTCTGAATATTTGTAACAGTTTAATAAAGCACAATAGCAGAATGTGCAACATAAGCCTTCAGAATTTTAGGGCCAATCGCCTACCAAAGAGATTCAGTCCTACACTTGCGATATGCTCAATAATCTCTAAATACTTTGAACCACTTTTTTTTGTAGTTTCAAAGATTTGTATCACCAAATAAAGCAACATATCGAAGGCCTACACCTGTAAATAAATATAAAGCTTTAAAAAGTGACTTCACCCTATGAGGCGCGGAGTTGCCCTTCTCTAAAACTCTCAGCAGTTTTTACAAATGTCCTGATTAGGTGCCAGTGAAGGTGACAAGACAAGCGTATTACCAGTTCACTTCCTCCTGCAACCCCCTCCCTGCTTTTACAGCACAATAAATGAACATTAAACTGATATGAAAACAACCACAGTATAGACAGGGTGCGCCTAGAGAAAATCAATGGATTTTCTAGTAGGCCCGTGTATTTTTGGTGCAGCGTTTTGGGTGTCAACCAAATATTATGCACAACTTCTGTCTAGACACCCATAATTTTATCGTGGCATGGAATTTGCTGACTCGAATAAATATTTAGTCTTAATGTTATATTTAGCAGACGCTCTTATCCAGAGCGACATACAGTTAGTGAGTGTATACATTTTTTTCATACTGGCCCCCCGTGGGAATCGAACCCACAACCCTGGCGTTGCAAACGCCATGCTCTACCAACTGAGCTACACGGGACTATTTGATTTTCATTTTTCATATTGAGCTTGAGTAGCTAGAATGTTTATGAAACGTTATAGTCTAGTAGGCTATTCACATGTAGGCTATAGGCCTACACATGTGTTGTCTATGATTCAATTCACTATAGGCCAGGCATGCATGCCAAGCGTCTTGTGATGATAGATTTTCACTTACAAGCCTACAAAGAGTTCTCACTTGTTGACTATGCATCCATAAAATGTAAATCCCAAACAAAGCCAAGCGACACCTGGCTCTCACTGTAGAGAACTGGGAAAGAAGCAACAACAGAAGCTATAATAATAATAATAATACATCTTCAATAGAAATAAGTCTGCAAGCCTCAATTTTGGCGAGGAATGGCACTTTAGTACGATAAAGCCATTGGGTTGTTGGTTGCTGCAGTGTAGTCTCACGGTTTTTGCCACGTGTCAAATAGGTTCCTAACAGTGAATCTTTACAATAGGCCCTACTATGACACACAAGATATATAGAGAGCATTGAGAACAACACCGCGTGCAGCTTACTGTGGGCTATCCAAACAACATAATGTTGTTATTTTGTAATATATTGTGTCTAACATCTAATTAGATAAAACCAAGGTGATTGAACACAACTGACATAGACCTACTGTATGTATGCATGTACTCGCAGTAT